CTGTTCCACAACATAGTTTCTGTTGAACCTCTTGTTTGTTTATTGTTAAGCACAAAGCTACACAAAAGCCTGTTTGTGCTGTGTACAAATGCAGAATGAAATAAAAAGGTAAAAAACACATTTCTTTCTTGTATACCACAAGTTCTGATTCTACCCTCTATAGTTAACATGTTGGAAAGATTTGTTCAATCAGTGTATGTGACTATTGGCCATAACTGGGTTTATAATATTCAAAATAATACTAATTGTTTGGTCTGGAAAATGCGTTTTTTCAATTTCAATGACTTCCTAGATATCCTTTTTCATTCAGATTATTCATTGTATCAGGAATAAACAAGTTTTAAGACATTTGTGTTCAGTATTATCAGTATCAAAAACGTTCATGAAGAGAGAATGACTAATATCAAATACATTTTCAGGAATTAATTGAGTAATATTCAGTATATAATTGGTAATTATCGCCCCCTTTTTAGAGTGAAGGGTACATTCCTTTACACAAAAATATAGAACGGATCATAATTTTTCTGTGTAAAAATTCAAAGGTGGTTTTTTTTTTTGTGTGTGGGATTTTGGAATTTATCTCGATACATTGCACCAGGAAAAAAATAACCATTCCAAAGACATTTCCTCATTGGAATCATACTAATAGCCCTGCTCTGATACAAAAAGATCCAATAAGTCAACATTGTTTTTAGATAAGGAGAATTTTCCGAAGCTGGGGTGCAGACCCCCCGCCTTGTATACCAATGCATAATTCTCGAAGTGAGGCCTATGTAACTTGTGATTAGTATAAAGATAATTATTTCTTTTAACTTCTAATCAATATATATATCTATAAATGCACTCTAAAATTGTCTTAGGTTTACCATTAGCAACAGACCATTATTTAAATGACTTAAGTGATTTCTCCATCAGTATGCCAAGAGCTTGTTCTCAATCACCTTACTTGTTTCTGATAGTGAGGTCATTGGAATAATACAGTGCAGAAATTATTAGTCATTTTTGCCTGTGCAACCAGGGAACTGATATTCCACGGAAGGCTTATCCTGTGTTGGCTAGATAAAGCCAAGGAACAGTGAGATCAACAAGTGTATGTAGTGGAAAGAATAAGAGTACCTTTGTATATATGTGTGTGATGCTCCATGGTTTGCTAAAGATAAAGTCTAGTGCGATGGTGCCATGCAACAAAGTTATCAAACCCCTGATTGAAAGAAACTGTTTCCCATCCAGAAAGCAAGGAGCATTAGCTTGGAAAGTTATTTGTTTAAGGACAGATGAGTCCCAGTGATGACAACAAGACGTTAAAAACTCAGCTGAAAATGTCATTGAAACTTTTTTTTCTTATATATCAGATGGTTTTTCATAGTATAGTGTAAGCATTAACTCTGTGATTGCCACATGATTACTTCACAAGCTAGGATGGTCATTTGGTTGAAAAATATATAACTGAAATGATTGTTCAACCCTTACTTTCTGAGCTACTGAGTGAATTTTCTGAGGTGAAATGTTGTCCAACATTTTGAGAGAATCAGTCACCTGATCTAGTTGAGTGGTGGCGACTTGATGGAGCATACCTGCTAGTCTTTACAAAATTCTCACTAATACTTAGAGAACACGTGACATTTCCATACATAATAAGAGAGGTACATTTCATCTGTGTGTATATTAATAACAACAACACACGTATTGATTCTGGCTGGAGATAATTTTAGGAAACAGTATTAGTTTGGCTGAATTTTGCCAGTAGTTGTTTATTTCATGTAGGATGAAACGAAAAAAAGAGTTGATTTTGAAAGAATCTAGATGGCAGGACATTATTGAATCATTACTACCAAGCTTTAGCTTTCGAAAGAGATTACCCGAATAATCTGTATGGGAGCCAGAGGCAATCTGCAATAAGCTACTAGAGTATGTGACAATGTGTAATGCGTTTATATGTACATAGCAATATATATAGAAATACGTATACGTGTGGGGTGTTATGTATATGAGCATTACATAAAGTCATTCATTAATGTTGTATAACATGAATGATCAATTACACATATGACACAATGGCTAAGCAACATCCAGATAGAAATAATTGATTTGATGTTAAAACCTTATAATGTGAAGTTAACTGTGATTGCTGACCAACCGAGGTATTACTTGAAGATACAGTGAATTAAAATTCGATGACGAGAAACCCACTTTGAGACTAATAATGGCTGGAGACGGCTTGAATGGGTAATGAAGAAAAACTTTAATATAAGTTTTTCTTCATTGCCCATTCAAGCCGTCTCCAGCCATTATACAGTGAATTGATTATTTTAATTAATGGTGGAGGGAGAATGTGTGAAATTTGACATCAAAATAATGGGAAGTAATGAATTTTCATTGAGGGATAATGGTAATAAAGCAACTTGCACTACATCTGAATGAAGAACATATTTTAACTTCTTTTTGTAAGAGTTGTGCAAAATGCTCAAATTGGACCAAATTAAAATATTTATGAGTGAGTGAAATTATAAATAGTAGATGGAATTTATAAAAAGTAGTTTGAATATCACAAAAATGTAAACTTGGTGCTTCCAGTGTTATATTTTGTTCTGATAGAATATTTTCAGTCATGCAGATTGAAATATTTTATGAGCACACAATTTTCTGAATATTTTTAATATTGTTTTCAGTAAATGATGCAATTATAACACATGAAAATGCAGTGTAAGTAAACTAGGGATGCCCCCCAGTGGCACAGCAAAATGTCTGCGGACTTCCAACGCTAGAATCCGGGTTTCGATAACCGTGGTGGGCAGAGCACAGATAGCCCATTGTGTAGCTTTGTGCTTAATTACAAACAAACAAACTAGGGATGATGGTGAAAAGTAATACCCCACGTGTTAAAATTTTGTAAATTGCACCAAAGATAGTTCTAAGCTTGGAACTGGAAGAAAGTTTCTAAGGATAGAAAATGTCAATGTTATTAGATCATAATGGTCAAAATTAAGGAGTCAGCGCTACCTAATTATTTATAGCTACATAATGGATTACTTTACCAAAACTAATACACCCATAGCTTCCTTTACAGTGCTGTCGATCCTTACTTATAGTGCTTTCTTGACATTCACCATCGTCAAGCTCATGGATGAAGTTGCATTACTTGCTAATGTATTAGATATGGGTAAGCTTGCTATGTCTGTCATTGTGTTGGTGATGAGGTCTCCTGGGGATTCCCAACTCTCATTGACCATGAAGCTCAGGCCTCTACTGAATGTACCTGTGGTGGAGGGAGCAGCAACAATGACCATAGCTTTATCGAATCCAGAGGAGCCAATCCTCTAGACAGGAGATTCTGCCACTATTATGGACTCATATGCAAGCATACTCAATCCCTTTAAAGAAGTTACAATGCCTATTCATAATATGTTTTGTAAGAGGATGTAATGTCATCAAGCAAAAATGGTGCCAAACATTATGCCCATAAACCAAATAAAACATTCCCAGAACTTGGATTCTTTCAAGGTTCGACCAGACTCTTGGAGGGGGCAGAGCACGAAAGAGCAATGGATGATGCCTACAACTGGAGAGTTTTTATGATATAACCATTGAAATTATCAGTTGTATAAGAATATTTACCAGTGATTACACGTGTTCTTCGTTAAAGTGATTTTAATTAATATGCATCTATTCTTTATTAAAGAAATTTCTGTATTGAATCACTCTTAAATGGCTCATTTTTGTGTTTTTGAAAATTCAGGTTGTATCCAAAACTTATATATCAATGTTTAAGTATTTTAATTGTATATTGCAATTCTTTGTTAAAAGTTTGGGTTGAGTGTAAATGTTTTCAGGGGCAAGAACAGGTTATAATACTCCTTGACTGATGTAAATTTTTAATTTCAATTAGATTTAAAGTTAACCTTGCCGGCTTGAAGACAAGCATGAAACAGAAGGGATAAGAGGAGGAGGTGTGATATCGAAGCATCCCATGAGCTTTCTGTCTTCTTATGTTACTTTAAAAGCTTTCAAAATGTTTAGTTTGTTCAAGGTATGTATAGTTTTTGCATAACACATGGTCAAGAAAATTATTAAGTTCATTTTGTTTTAGTTACTTCGTTACTTGTCAATTCCTTGAAGATAACTACTGGTCTTCCCATGGGAGTATAGCTGTAAAACTTCACATTATGCATGGATTTCGACAGTAGTGTCCTTAGTGGTAGATCAGGTTATGCTTCGAGGGTTTCAGTCTCCCTTCTGTTTGAATAGGAATGACCAGTTTCGTGGGGGCGCTAGTTACTTTGGTTAAGTCTGACGTTACCAATTCAGGTAAGCAACATAAGGTTTAGACAGTCAGGGACATGATCTTGGGTGAGTCGGTCACCTTGGAAATAAGTCTTGAGGGAGTAGATTCAACCTGATAACTTCATCGCTCCAGCATTGGACAGCTGTCCAATGTCCAACACAATAATTTTATTTCAACAAAGTTTGTTTTCATTGTGTAGCACACTTTGTGTCGAATCTATTTATTTCATTACCACGTAGGTTTTAATCTACCAGTGCCTGAGTTGAGTATGTAAAATGATTTAGTCCATATACGTATGTCCATTATAATGATTGTCTTCGTCTCACTCAACGTGTAAATATCACTTGTCCAGTGTTCATAGATTGTTTTTGTGAGTTAATAAACAGTTGCCAAGATTATTTGATGTGTCTCTATTGAACTAGTCGAGGCTATTGTAGGCGATCTAAACTGTTTTGACGTTCATTTATCATATAACATTTTACCATATGTTGTTGTTGTAAACAAATATCTTAAATCCCTGGAGAAAACTTTGTCTGGCTCTGTTAATTCATAAAGTTAACTTACAAACGTTTTACGTAAACAGTATTATTAACAACAAAACATTTGTGATACTATGTGGTTAAAATTATGACGGGACTTGAGTTCTTGATTATCGTAATATAATATTTTAACCGATAGAGGGTGTGTGTACGTAATAGTTATGTTGCTGTTGGCAACGTGAAACTGTATTTCTTTTTGTGAGATTTGTTATCTATAGAAGACATAATTTATCAGTTGTTAGATAAGTTGAGCTCGAGCAGTGTAACTGTTTGTATATTCTGAAATGTTTATACTTTTGTATTAAAGAAAAACTGTAAAATAAAATAAATATAGCAATATAACGTCATTTTAAGCAACATTTGCAGTATAAATTTATAAAACTTGGAAGTGAAATTTACGTATAAATATTCCTGAATTAGATGTAGGTTAACGTAATTAAAATATAAAATAAATACAGTATTACACAAGAGTAGGCCTATGTCTTTCTTGTGTGAGCAGAAATCTTCATTTGCTGGGTGTGTCTTCGAAAATTTAGGTCAGTCACTGATTTCGAGGAGACTGTGATGTGAAAATTGGATATTTGTTTGAATATATCGTAATGAGTGTTTAATGTAAATATTTTCAGTATTACACTATCATTCAAACAATTTATTATTTAATTTTAAGTCTACTTCTTACAATTACTAATAAATATTACTAGTATTTACTACTACTAGTAGTATTAATATTGCTACTAGTGCTACTACAAATACTATTACTAATTAATAATGGCTGGAGACGGCTTGAATGGGTAATCGAACTATTACTAATTAGTATTACTACTACTAGTATTAATATTTTCTGCTACAACTAGTACTGTTGTTTGGTGACACGTCATTTTCGACAAATTGTAAACTTCATCTGTTGTGACTTGTGTGCTTGCAAGTTGCAATTGTGACTCTATGAGATAAGGCCAATTGCAACTTATGTCACTTATACTACTTTAGACATACTACTACTTGTTAATAATTAAAATAGTAGTACTAAATGGTGAATAAAATTCTATTCATTCTAATAAACATAAAATGTGTTGAAAATTTTGGGCAATAAATACTCAGATTTTGATTACTTGCTCTAATAATAATCATCATAAGCTCTGGTGTTTTTAGAAAAGAGTGATCTGCTACTCCCAAAGAGGAAAAAACATGGCAAAGAGAAAAAAGTTAGTATATTATCTATACATTTGAAACAGAACTGTGTGTCCTACTTGCTACAAATGGTTGGTCAGGAAGAAAACTATCAGATAAATTGCAGGAAATGGTCAAATTATGTTGTACATCTAACAGTAATGTATTATTTCACTTTCCTTACACATGAAAAATCAGCCAGTAATGTGGAACGTAAGTAGAGGTGGTACAAAATGTAAAGAGGGTATTTTAATAAGGGTATTTTATTATAAAACTAATCGTACATATACTGTGAAAACACAGAACATGTATAATGATCAAGGTTGCTGGTTATACTAAGGGTTTGTAAAGTGTGTTTAAGTAGTAAAAGCTACTAAAGGTAAGATGTAACAGTCTGATTAGTTCCCTATCAGTTAGTATACTAAATGAAATGAAACATGGGTTTCAATCCTTTTCTTTAGTTGTAATTCCATTGTTTGTTTAATGGATAGAAAGTTAGAGCTTATTGGTAAGAATCAATGTGGTGATAAATGGATTTTTTTTTTCAGCTATGAACATTTTTCATTAGAATCTTTATTATTTTTTATGTATGATAATGAGTTAAACATATTCTTAAACAGTAAACTTTTCAAATTATTAACGACTTTAAGATTTTAGAAAAAAAAATATATATTTATAATTTTTCTCTTATTTCAAATAAATTTAATAGTCTTAGTGCCTGAGTTAGAGGTGAAAAATATGTTTTAATATGTGAAATGAAAATTTCAAAAAGTATATGCCTTTGGAGAAAAGGATCATTGTTGTTAAAGAAGACCTAAGTTGTGATTTTAAAGCCTTTTGTTAAGATTTAAGTTGTGGTGTAAGAGCAAATAGTCTTTTTTAATAAAATTTTTGGATTTACCCAAGACTGATGAGGTATTATTTAGATTAATATGTAAAGTCTTGACAACTGTACTATAGGAAGGGTATCAGTATTTTGATATAAGTCCAAAGACATTCTTTTAGAATGATATATGGTTTAAGTTGTTTAAATCATGGTTAGTAAATTCTTTACATTTTCTGATGACATTAAAGCTTTGAGGACAGTGTCACTGCTTTACTAAATGATTTGGATTATTTGGTGAATTTGGTAAATAAATGATAGATGGTTTTTAATTATGATAAATGAAAGTTAATGCATGTTAGGTATCATAATTATGAGCATGATGGAAATAACCTAAATAGTGTTATGGAAGAAAAAAAAGACCTTGGTATTCTGGTTGACCAGTATCTTAAGCCATCCAAGTAGTGTGCTGTTGCTGGAGTTGCAGGGCAAAGGGAATTTATGTTGTATGTACAGAAATATTCAATACAAGTCTAAAAAGGCTATAATATCCTTGTATAGTTAATTGGTTAGGCTACATTTGAAGTCCTGTGGCTCCTTAATTTAGAAAGGAGACTGAATTGTTGGAAAGGGTTCAGGGGAGGCTACTAAGAGGATACCTGGGATAGAAATGAGGACAAATTAGGACTCCTGCAATTGTTTTCTCTTAAGAAAAGAAGAGTTAGAGGGATCTGACTGAGGTTTTTAATATTTTTAATGGAATTGATTGTGTTGATGCCTCATTTTTTCATACTTAATGGTAAGACTAGGTGACACAGATATAAATTTTGACAGAGTAGGAGTCATCTTCAGCTAAGACAGCTTTATTTTTATAAGAAGTTGGTTGGCCTTTGGAACAGGTTGCCTTCAGATGGGGTAGATGCAGTTAATTTAAGAGAAATCTTGATAAATATTTGAATGACAAGGGTTGAATTTGAGTTTTGAATTTACTGGATGGGATGTAGATTGACCAAAAGGTCTTTTGTTGTCCATTAATGTCATATGTTATTTTCTGAATTACAGATTATGTGACTTAGGGTGTAAGAAAAGTTATGATTTAGTCAGTCTTTCAATGAATAAACATGTAATGAAAAGTTTGGAGATAAGAACTTGAATATTAGAAGAAATATGTTTGAGTTTTGGAAGCCCAGATGCAGATTTGTTCTTTGACTCCATTATGTTTCCTCTAGTTATAATAAAGATGTGAATTGTTTTGTTTTATTATATAGTAAGTAAATTTTCAATACTTGTTAGATATGTGGATCTGAAAGACTACATTTTATTTTGTCATTAATGTTTTGTTGTTTTTAGAAAGTTTATTAATTAATATTTGATTAATATTACTGCTTTAAACTTCTTATATTATAATATTGAAAGGGTGTAAATTGCATATTATCAGAGAGTTCTTTAATGTATATTATGTATATTAAATTAATGTTTGTGATATGCAATTTTATCTTTGCAATTTTGCATTATGAAGTAACTATTATTTTTGTGAAGATTATTATTATTTAACAGTTTGTGTAATTATTGGCAGTAATAAATTTGTATTCTTGTTCAATGCTATCCTCTATATGCAAACATTTTTTTCACATACCACAAGCCTTGAGTTCCCACATATCTTATGATCAAATGGTTCAACTGTGTCTCACATGTAAATTGTCATGCAACAACTCTCCACCAATAGGAGTGCTATACACTCTCTTGATGCATGTGACTCCCTCTATTTTGTAATCAATTTTGCCTTTGTGTGGAGCAGATCCTGATCATCCTGTTTGTTTATTCCATGCCCAATTTTCCCATCTTCTTCTTACCCTATCGACTCTCCTATGGTACTTGTCTACCATCCACCTCCTTTCAGAGGTGCTCTACTGAGATTCTGAGGGTTTTTCAAGGGATAGCCTCTCTCTGCTTACCTCCATGTTAGCACATTTGTCTTCTTTGGCTCTTTCCTTACACATGTTGTTTCTCTGTTGTTGGGATCTGCTGGAGAGGGATGCTGTATTGTCCCAAGTTTGTTTACAGCCAACTTATATCCAGGACTTTTTCTCTTTACTCTAGTGATCTATTTGCAGTAATATTTTTGAGACTTTGGAATCCTGTGTGGAATTGGTGAGGAAACAGTCGACCCTTTCATCTTAGGTTGATCGTTTGTCTCATTCAGAGCCTTAACAAGCACCTATTACTGCTTCTCGTCATACTTCTTCCCAGTTCCTACCTCCAGAGGTTCCTCCTCTCATCGTATTATTCCATTTCAGTTGGTGTGTTTCCGACAATGCCGGTGACTACCTGGGGGATTCTGGTCCAATGGTGGCTCACTTGACCAATTTTGTCCCCCTACGGTGACTTTTTGCTACAGATCTGTGGGTTATTTGGGTCTTACCCAACAGATTTGTTATCCACTTTCTTTCTCCTTCTCTGTTGTCTTGGGTACCCATATCCTTTCCATCACCTTGGGATCCTACCACCAGTCAATGTCTGTCTGAAACACAACAAGATCTTCTATTCTAGAATGCTATCAAACCTGTCACTCATCCTTCTCCAGGTTTTTATTTCAGGCTGTTTGCGGTACCCAAAAAAACTGAGGACTGGCATTTGTCCTTCCTCAATCAGTTTTTGGCTCTGCTCCGATTTACCATGGAGTCGTTTCACGCCCTCCAGTGGGCTTTTTCTCCAGGTTTATGGATGACTGAGGTAGACGTCGTGAATGCTTATCTGCATATTCCAGTATATCTTCTGTCGAGGTGCTATCTTCAATTTGTTCATAACAGGGTAGTTTATCAATTTTGTGCCCTACCTTTTGGGCTTGCTTTGGCCCCGTACGTCTTTTGTCGGGTGATCAAGGCTCTTGCCTGACATTTGTTTGCTCAGGGGTTGTGCTAACACAATTATATGGATGACTAGCTTCTATTAGCTCTTTCTGAATGGGAGTTCGGCCATCACACTCATCTACTGCTCCTGGAGGCAGATTGTGTGGGTTGGTTAATTAAATTTAAGTCATTCCTTATACCTACCCAATATCTTGTCCTCTTGGGTGTCTTTTTCAACACTCATCTCACTCTGGCTCAACCTTCTCATGTTTTGACTTTGTTCAATGTAGCTTTCAACTCACCATGCCCTTACTGCTCTCGAGGTTCTATTGCTTTTGGGGATCTAGTCTTCTGTGGAAGCCCTTATCCCCTTGGGTTGAGTGCATATGAAGTATTTTTCAGTGAGATCTGCATGACCAGTGGAATCTTGCACGAGATCCATTAAAGGCTCCTATTTATCTTCCTCCTTCCCTTGTCAGCAATCTGCATTGGTGTTGGACATGGCTCACACATTGGTGGGTGTTCTGCTTCCTCCCACTTGTCTGGGTTTGAATATCTTCACAGTTGCTTACCTCCAGGGCTGGGGGGCATGGGTTGATCAGCAGGAAGCTTTGGGTCTCCAGCTGAACGATCTTTCCATATCAACATCCTGGAGATTATGGCTGATTGTTATGCTTTGGATCATTTTCTTCAACTTGCCAGCAATCGTTTGGTCATGATCCAATCTGAAAATTCTATAGTAGTGGCTTATATCAGTCATCAAGGTAGCACCCATTTTTGTTCTTTTTGTGGTCGAAACTTGGATCTCCTTTTTTTGGGCCTACACGCTTGGTATTTGTCTCCTTGTATGCTATCTTCTGGGTGCATTCAATTTTGTTGCAGATCATCTTTTCCATTCCAATCCTCTCATTTTCCAGTGGCTATGCCTTCAATGGGGTACTTCTCACCTGGATGCATTTGCTACATCCCTCAATACCAAGTTACCTTTGTTTTATTCTCTGGTTCCTTATCCACTTGTTCTGGCTGTTGATGTGTTCAGTTAAGATTGGACTAACAAATACCTTTGTGTGTATCCTCCCATCCTTCTTGTTTACAGGGTGATTTTGATCATCCGGGACACTCCATGTCAAGTTCTTCTGATTGCTCCTTACTGGCCTGCACAACCGTGGTTTCCGTGGCTGCTCCAGCTACAATGTGTCCAACCATTACTCTTACTCCATCCCTTCTGCATCAACCTTGAACTAATTGAAAAACAACTTTCTCCTGTGCATAGAAACAATGCACGCACCTGATAGGGGGGAACAGGAAAATATAAGCATTTCTATTTTCTGATTAGTTCTTGATACACTTACAAACTAGAAAATCTAGTATATATATATGGATAAATGTAATAATTGCTTTTAATCAAGTCTTCAAAATGTAAATTACTTTAATCCAAGTCTTATGTATATTTAATAATTAATTTGTTTTATCTACATTAACCTCGGTCATTGGCATTTCATCTACCCACTGTTCCTCATCTTATGGATTTCCTCACTTGACTGTTTGATCAGGAGTCTTCTATCTTTGGGGGATCATGGGTTATTGGGCAGCCTTATCCCACACTTTTTGTTTTTCCAGGTATTGTAAAGTTTTTACTTTTCCTACCCTTTCCTTATTGTTAAGTTCCTTCTGGATTCATCATCCTTCTTTGTGCACAGTTTCCCGAATTGGGATGTCAATGTGGTTCGTCACTGCCTTACTTTGCCTCTGTTTGGACCTCTGTCCTAGCATTCGATTTTTCACTTATCTCTTAAGACTTATTTCCTTCTCCTATTGGCCTGTGGACATCGTCAGTCAGATTTATTTGCCACCGATGTATCATGTACACTATATCATTCCATATATATTCTCCTTTATCTCAATCAATCTTTTCTTCCCCAAACTTTGGCAGTTCGTGAGAAAAGATCCTCCTTCTCACCAATTTCTCTTCCTTCCATTTCTCAACTATATTCTCAGTCTGATCTGATAGACTACTTTGTCTCATTCATGCCCTTCATTGTTATGTTGCCTGCACGGCTTCCTGCCATGGTGCCCGTTCCTGCCAATTTATTCTTGGGAGATATCCTCTGTTCATGATCTTTCTCTCTCCACCCTTACCAATTGGGTTCAACTTTTAATTTGATTGGCTTATTCTTCCTTTTCTCATTTTTTCCCATGATTTATTCCAGGTATCTTCTCATCAGAATTGGCACCTTACCTTTTCCCTGGTTTCTCATCTCTGTTGTCCCTTGGAGGAAATTCTTCAGTCAGGCATGTGTACCAGACAAATGTTCATCTCTCACTCTCTGCATTGGATTGCTGTTTCTCCATCATCTGGTTATCATCTTCCACCTGTGGCTATTCTTCAGGCTTCACTGATACTTTGACTGGGTAAGTCATGTTTTTTCTTTCAGGGGCTTTCTCCTTTTTTTTTACTGTACAGATCCTGCTCATTGGTGAGTGGTACTTGACCAGGTATACTTCAAATAATCATATCTCACTGTCAGGTCATGTTGACCTCATATTTATAAGTTCCATGGCCACTAAATGCTCACTGTTGAGATGGGGTGTTCTACAAGATCGCTTGTACGTTTTTCCTCATGACATTGATTTGCTTCATTAATATGCCAGTTCTGGAACATAATCACCCATGGACTTCATGGGTAAAGCAGAAGGGGATAGCTGTCCATCCCTGCTATTCCTTCGATTGAATAAATCAGGTATGGTATGCTTTTTCAAATACGGTTTTCATGGTCACCCATTGCACTTTCTTCAGTGTTGACGTTCCTTCTGGATTCTTCACCACATTTTCAACACTCCTTTTTTCTTCCAGTGGGAGTCCTTACTACTTTCCAATTTAAAGCCACTGGAGTGGTTGATATGGAAGCATCCTCCTGAATGTGATATATGACACAAACAATGATGAAACCATTCAGTTGAGAGTAAAGCGATAGTGTTTTGCTGGTGTAGATGATGAGATGGCTTCCTATCTGATGCTCCACCTTGTATTACAGGTGTCTCTGTTCACTCACTCAATTATACTCTTGTTCACTTCAACCATGTTGTGGGTCATGGTGGTGGAACTTGTAGATTAATACGGTTCTTCCTCTTACACTATCCCTTGATGATTTTCCTTTACCAAGGATGTTATTGCACTAGGGGTGGTTCCTCTTGGATTGGTTTTGAGTGGGATTGTTTACCTTACAGGGTCGTCTTTCTTATGCCGATCATATGTATGTCAGGTTCCTGGATCAGTCAAACAATTTATCATATTGCTATCGGGTGTTTTGTTCAAAGAATGATGGGTATGAGATTTTCTTCCTTTCTGCTGAACATGAAGTGAAGATGGTATGATCCTCTTTCCTACTCTCACCAGATGGCTGGGTTTTGGATTGCAGTTGACTTGCCGCTGGTATGATCCTCATCCTACCCCTGTGTGGATGTCATTCCTGGCAGCTGGGTTTTGGATGCAGGTGACTTGCTGTATATGGTTTGTTGCACCCTAGCCACTCTACATCTATGAGCACATCCTTTTTACTCTCACCCACATTCATGTAATCTATGGAATTGAGATTCAGGTATTGTGTGGTTTGGATCCCTATTCAACCATTGTTTTCTTCCTTTTGGATGTGCTCCTCCCATTTTCCACCCATGTCTGAGTCACCTCTTTCCATACTGGGCGAAGAGTATACCTGGTACAGAAGTGGTGCAGTCTCCCATGTGTGATCCTCTAATGTGAGGGTTTCCCCTTTTTGGGTGTTGTTTGGATGCTTTCATGGAATGCTTCTTTCTGTCCCTCACACCATTCCCTCCACCTATTCAATGTGGGATTCTTACTATTTATTTGAGTGGAGGTAATGTATTGTATCAGAAGTTATAATTTTCCTATACTGAAAATATATTTCTGATAGGCAATTACCTCCCTCACACTTTCTATGCTTCCTCCCCACAGAAAACTGGAGCTTCCATTTTCTGTCAAAACTTGAATTGATAGTTCGGTAGAATCAAACTCCTATTGGTGGAGGGTTGTTGAGACGCAGTTTGATTGTAATGTATGTGGAGGTAAGTGCTTATCGGAAATATATTTTCAGTACAGGAAAATTATAACTTTAGAACTTATGAAATATTTGAAGAAGTGGATTTTCGTTAAGTGGACATACAGCATTTAGGTTACAAGCTCAAGTAATGTTTGCCTTTTCTAAAATACCAAACAAGTTGGTAGCAGACAATTTAGTTCATTGAGGTCACACCTAATCCCATCAAACTAATAACAATTCACCTAAAGGTTTTTATTTATTTGTGTTGGCTGAAAATGTAAACATTAACAGTAAAGATTTCTCTAAATACATTAAGGGTAAACACAATGTTAGGATGGGGGTAGAACCCTTGAGGGATAATAAAGGAATGCTTGTATCTGATGATTATCAGATGACTAGGTTATTAAATTTTGCTGTTTCTTCAGTTTTTACTAATGAAGATTTAAGCAGTATTCCTTATCTTGAACAGCTAATAGATGGAAACAAACTCGAACAAGATGACTATATTAATTCTGAGCTTGTTAAGAAAACATTTGAAAGTTTCAAGAATGATATGACTCTTTGGCCAAGTAATATTTCCCCAAGGGTTTGAAGCAAGTTAAGGATTGAATATGTGAGCCACTTGCAATTTTTTTTTTTCGTAAGTACTTGAATAGTGGGCAGGTACCAGAGGATTGGAAGCTAGCTAATGTCACTCATCTTTTCCAGGGAGAAGATAAAACTTTCCCACTAATTAGGCCCATAGTATATTATAATAGTCTTACATCAGTTGTTGTTAAAGTTTTAGAAAGTCTGATAAAAGATGCTTTGTAAAGCCATTTAACAAAGTTTAGAATTTTATTCGGTAGTCAACATGGTTTTATTAAGGGAAAATCTTACCTTACAAATCTTTTGACATTCTTTGAAAAGGTTATTGCTTATATAGGTGAAGGTAAGGGTGTAGATTTGGTGTATCTGCATTTTCAGAAAGCATTTGATAAATGGCTTGTTAAAACAATTATCTGTATAGGTGTTGGGGATAAGTTAGCAAATTGGGTAGAAGAATGGCCTGATGAAAGAAAGTGGAGAATTATTACAAATGGAGTTCAGTCAAAATGGATTAATGTTAAAAGTGGGGTACTTCAGGGCTCAGTCTTAGAGCCTTTGCTGTGTTTCATTTACATAAATGAAAGAATGGTCAATAAGCTATTTAAATTTGCAGATTATAATAAGGTCTTGGGTGTTGCTAGCTGTGAAGAGGATGCTGCTGATTTACAAAAAGATTTAGATTCTTTAGTAAGTTGGGCAAATAAATGGCAAATGGGTTTTAATTATAATAAATACAAGATAATGCATGTGGGTTATCATAATTTGAATTATAAGTATAATTGGATGGGAATAACTTTAACAGTGTCATGAAAGAAAGAGATCTTGGTGTAATAGTTGATTAGTCTCTTAAGCTACACAAGAAGTGTGCTGTTGCTATTGTAGGGCAAATAGGATTTTAGGTTGTATCTACAGGAGTATTAAATACAAGTCTAAATAGGTTGTAATTTCATTGTAGAGGTCATTGGTTAGGCCACATTTGGAGTATTGTGTTCAGTCTTGGACTCCATACCTTAGGAAGGACATTGAATAGTTGGAAAGGGTTCAAAGGAGGGTTACTGGAATGGTGCCTGGGAGAGAGAGTGTATGTGAGATCTCTCAAATTGTTTTTCTTGATAAAAGAAGAGTTAGAGGGGACCTGATCGAGGTGTTTAAGATTGTAAAGGGAATTGATAGTGTTAATGCATCATAATTTTTTTTCATACTTAACAGCGAGAATAGTAGGACTAGGGGACACAAATATAAATTTTGGTAGGGTCGGAGTCATCTTCAGCTAAGATAGTTTTATTTTTCTAACAGGGTGGTTGGTCTTTGGAATGGGTTACCTTCAGATGTTGTGGAGGCAGTAAATTTAAGTGGGTTTAAGAGAAAGCTTGATAAGTATATAAATTATAAGGGCTGGCTTTAAGATTTTTTTATAATTTATTTATTGATAGTTTTAGTTTAGAGGATGAGATGGCCGAGATGGACCAATAGGTTACATGTTGTCCCAAAACCTTATGTTATGTTGGTAACTTTATGTGAAGATTCAGGTGATCTAAAGTGGCTAAGGGACCTGTTTTCACGTTTCTCTTTCTTATGTATCTCAATTCAAATATCTTGAAACTAATTTAACAGCTTTTCTTATCCCTTATTTATCAATATGGCCAGTCTAAGAATAATTTGTAATTAATAAAATCTAATTATTTATTTAGAATATTTTAATGCATTTTTTAATGAAGGCAAATCTTTCTTCTCTTTAGATATAAAATGTCATTATCACATTAAAATTTTATCAGCAGAAACTGCATTGTTATTGGGTGCAACTATACTCCTGAATTTGGTCTGTATTTTTAATTAGCTACTCGAGATTGAACCTTGCAGTCAAACTGATTTTAAAGGTATTTCTCAGACAATTTGTTTTCTTAATTCGAGCTTTGCAATTTCAGAAGAAAATTGTAAGTTTTGTATTTGTTATTTAGCCCACAATAGATATTTGAACATTACTTGTGGTGTAAATAATTGAGCAAAAAACATGTTTTACAAAGGCATATATTCACATTATAACAGTAATTATCAGAGTTCACATGCAAAATTTCAGAATTTGATTTTAGTAAGTATTCCCTTTTTATAACTTAACCATAAAAGCATTAACTGGAGACAATCTACCTTTATTGTTTTTTTCCATTTAATAGCTACAGGGAAGTCAACCAACATATCAAGAAGAGTCTGTCAAAACTAAACCTTACAGTGTATGAATACTGAACACAATGTCAGGGTCACTTTCTTCAGTGGAAGGTGAACTTAATGCTATAGTGAAGGAGGTAAATTAGTAATACATGTACTTCTAAGTAAGAATTTTTGTGTCAGATCTATAGTTTGTGCTTTGAAATGTTTATTACATAAATTTAATTGTACATTGATGATAAATAATTATCATTGATCTTAATAGTTACTTTTCAACAATTTAAATTTTCAGCAATTAACTTAACTGTAAGGGCTTTTTTTGTTGGTAATGTTTTACAGTATGAGAAACTGAAAATGTTCTGATAGCACTATGTGATCTTTAAAAGTAACAAAAAACTTAGAACAAGTTACTTTATGTTAATTACTTAGCTTTCAAAATACAAGATAATAAATACAGTATAGGTAAGCAACACAATTATATATATCAAAGTAAGAAACATTTATCCCAATCAAAACCTAAAGAACTCAACACATAGTATTAATCATGCTACTTAAAGCTACGTATATGGTATACTTTCAGTACTTAGAATTGTCAGGATTAGAGGACTCTGTGAGATGTTTTGAGGAGGAATGTCAGAGGCTTGGCAAACCTATACAAGATAGTGCTGGAACGTTTCAAAAGGATGGTAGAGTTCGAAAAATTCAAGTATGTCATAAAAGTCACTTATTTGAACAATAGCTGAAATTTATTTTTAAAGTAAAGGATGTTTTCTGATTTCAGAGAAACCTTTCCTAACAGAAGTATTTGAATTAATATTCATTCATTGTGAAGTAAAATTTATTTTTTCTTTTTGTAAAGCATTCCACTGGTATCCTCCATCTTTTTATGAGATGATAATTTCATACATTTTCCTCTAGTATGTACATGCTTCTTTTATTGTAAGCCATTTTACCTAGATTTATAGACTGATTACTGTGACAAAAATAGGGTAAAAAAATTCAAGCACATTTATGTGTAGATGCTTTGGAATTATGTTTGTACAACTATTCTTTCAGAATGAGCTCTTCCAACATTTTGATGAAGGAAGAAGGGTGGAGTTTTTCTCAGCATGGGATTCTTATATCAGTCCTGAAGTACGAGAGGGTGATTCTTACTGTCAAAAGCTTGAATTTCAACTACATGTGCACTTTGCTGTGTTTCCTATAAGGAAAAGCAACAAGGATGTAAGGTTTATTCCATTCTTCACATCTCTTTCATTACATATAGACAGCATAGAAGTTAATAAAGAATTTATGTTCTTAAAATCATTAACTGAATATGTGATTATTACACTGACAGCATTTCTAGTGGCAGGGCAAATAGTATTTTAGTTTGTATTTGCAGAAATATTAAATACAAGTCTAAAGAGATTATAGTTTAATTGTGTAGATCACTGATTAGGCTACATTTGGAGTATTGCAATCAATTTTTACTCCTTTCCTTAGAAATGATATTGAATTATTGGAAAAGGGTCAGAATAGGTCTACTGGGATGATACTTGGGATGAAAAGGTTGTAATATGGGGACAGGTTAAAAACTCTGAAATATTTTTCTCTCTAAAAAAAGAAGAGGGGATCAGATTGATGTGGTTAAGATTGTTAAGGGAATTGACTGTATTGATGCAACATCATTTTTTTGTATTTAATGGTGTGATTGGTAGGATGAGGGAACATAGATATAAAGTTTGTGCATGGTAGGGGCAGGTTAAGTGTAATCTTTAGCAAAAATAGTTTTATTTTGCTAACAGGGTGATTGACCTTTGGAATGGTTTGCCTCCAGACTTTGATTTTTTATTATAGTTTAATCATGCGATGGCTTAAATGGATTTACAGGTCCCTTGTTGTCCTTCAGTTATATGTGTTATTTGTTACATGCTCATATAGAAACTGAAATTGAATAAGCAAAATGATTGATCTATGATTTTGTCAACATAAATTCCTATATAGTTTAATGTTAATTCAACTGACTCTAACTTTTTGTGAATGTCCTTGGTGCTCTGCCAACTCCCAGTTCTGTGAAGATAAACATAACAGTGCTTATCATAACTCTGAAATTTCTAAGATTATCTTCACAAAATTTAGCAAACTCTTAGTAAACATTACAAGTCTGTTGTACACAAAAAAAGTATTTCTACTAATGATTTGTTTATGAACTTACCGAATCTATCTGACTAGTCTGAGTGCCAGGTAATTTTCAAGGTTAAGAATAATAATAATACTTTTTTCATCTTGCAGTTTTGATATTTCATATACATGATTTCTTGATCCTCCTAAATGAATATGAATTTTTTTTTTAAACTTTATACTCTATCTGTTTATTTCCTTATTTTTTCTACCCTAACACTAAATGTAGCAAAAATCATTTTGAGTGAAAGTTGAAAAATATGAAAAAAAACAAAGTACTTTTTTCTAGAATGACTACAGATTGTAAAAAAACAATTACAATGATTTATTCTAACATCTTCATTCCAATAGTCTTTTAGGAACTTCTCTTATTTATTTTTATTGTTTTGTTGCTCTTTGGACCATGTTTAAGTACTAAACTAATGTAACAAAGCAATGAATCACCAGGCAAGAGAATAGTGAAAGTTACAGTAAACAAAGTATTGAATTACATTATGCATGAGCAGCTCATTTATATTCCTGACAGAGAAATTATAGTTTTTTTATCTGACCAAATAAATTTCTGTTGTTTTATATTTTAGTTACTTTTATAACAGTAAATATAAAAGAAATATACATAAAAAAATAAGAAATTTAGTTCTTAGTTTGGTCTCTTTCACCCAATCATTGATTTCCTGGTAAAACTTAACCATACTTTGTGATAGGAATCTTGACATTACATAACATTATTTAAAAAAAATTAATATACAACTTAGAATACAAATTATTGGCATACACAAACTCTGTAATGCCCTAAAACTACTATAAATGAACTGACTTTCTAATTAAGCTATAAATGGGTTAAAAAACTCATTCTTGTGAAGCTGAACTTAGACAGTGGTAAAGAAAGAAACTGAGGATTATATTATTCAAAACCCATGGGCTGTACAATTCAAACCTTGTAGAAGTTCAATAAATTAAGTTTGTTTGTTTCTTTTGGCTACAATTAGTCCAATAGCAAATATAAGAAAGAATTATTGACATTTTATGGAAGACAAGATGTGATAAGAAAGGGTGTGGCATTTGGGTTTCACTTTAGTATGTATATCTGAATTGAGCAAGAATTTTAAGAGACTAAAATTTACATTTTAAGTTGAGAATATCAATAGTATAATGTAATTTGTAGGAAACATAGAAGATTGTATAGGGATAGAAAAAAACTAATATGGACAATTCAAAGCAAAGAGGCAACGTTATACAGAAAGGTAAAGATTGAGAATCTGTTTAAATAGTTTCTTTCGATACAATATGTTACTCCTCTCACAAAAAGCTTTCTTGACTAGTAGTGCCCTCTTTTGGTGCAAATACTTTGCTTGCCACTACCCTTGCAGCTCCCACTTTCTGCATATCAACATGCAGCAATCCCCCACTAATCGGAGTGTGACACTACCCCTATCGTAACCAGCACCTTCTCTAATCAAGCACTTGGTAATCACTTCTCAATTGGTAGTCTTACTGTGCAGATGTGTTTTTATTTTTGTGTATTTTTCTATTTCATTTATTGTTGTTTTTCAATCTTTTTGTGGAAAGTAGTGATTTATTTTCATTATCTACTCTCCCTTTTCTATTTTTTGTTCTGCTGTTACTGCTACAGCAGATTTACTGACCACGTCTGCAGGGTTGGTACCACATTTATTGGCTGCTGCTGTGAAAGCTCTGATCCGTAGAGAATTGTATATTTCCAGGCAGTGTTTTTAATAAATTGCTGAGTGTCCTATCATACCAGTGTTTAGGTGTGTCTGTACAGGTGGATGTGACTGTGGGCAGCCTTTTTCCCCTCCTGAATATTTTTATCTGTTGTATGTCATTTTGGGAGATCATACACAGGCCTCTTCTTCCCTTTATAGACTTGATTATTCAGTATGTTGTGTTTTGTCTTTGTCTCCTGTTTTCCTTTAAGATTCTACATTAATCTTAGGGGATTAATCTTTGGGTCATTCTTTAGTTTTTCCTCCTTACCTGGATATTGGAGTTCTTGCTTGTTGTTTTGGGGAACATTTGCATTTGAGGGATCAATATGCTTTGTCCTCCACGTACGTTGGCCTATCATGTTTTTGCTTTTATAGTTCCAACTACCCATAATGAAACTAATACCTACTGGAATTCTTTTTCCTTTCTGGGGTTTGGACCTTGATACTTTGGTTAATTTTTCCTTCTTCCATTTTCCCATATATTTCTTAATATATGCACTATTAGCTGTGCAATATCCTCCTTTCACTTTTTTGTTGAGGCTGTTTATCTGTCTCATTAAGGGATTTCTGTTGATCATGGTTGTCTCTTTTTTGCTCCCGTGACACGCCTTTCCTCTGCAGCCCTCATTTTACAGATGTGGCTGCTCTGCCGTTGGGCTTTTCTAGGTCGGTATATTGTTTTATCTAGGGTCTGATCACCCTTCTCTTCTTTGCATGAGTTGTGCATGGCACCATTTTTTTTATATCAAGAGGTATTTGGGTTTTTTTTCCCAACTCTTTGGAGTTAGTTGTTAATTCAACCCATCCACATAACTCCCTTTCCATTCATGACCCCCCCTTTTGTCTCACTGTCCAGTTTCTTTTCCCCCTCAGTGGGATCCTGTTTCTTGCCAGCATCAATCAAGGTGGCTTGGAACTGACTTTTCAAGGGTGATACTGAATAAAAGATCCTTCTCATTAGAGATTTTCTTCTCTTCTTTTTTATCATTCCCAAAATGACAGGAGATTGGCACCTGGTTTTTGGTTTATCATCACTGAACTGCTTCCTCATCATTCCCAAGGTTACCATGGGTTTTTACTTAACTCTACATTGAGTTTTCACTCCAGGTTTGTGGATGAAGTTTGATGTGTCAGATGCTTGTCTACATATTTCCATCTCCCCAACATCCAGACATTTTCTTTATTTTGTTCATTGTAGGTGTGTGTTTCAGTTTCAGACTTCTTTGTTTGAGCTGGTCTTGGCTCCCTATATGTTCTGCTGAGTGGTCCAGATCTTTTTTCTTAACTGCTTCATTCCTGGGGTCTTCTACACCATTACATAGATGTCTGGCTATTTCTAGCTTCCTCACAGGCTGACTCTGCCCTACATGATAATTTTTTTTTTGATTAGATGCCTGCCTGGGTGGGTTGGTTTATCAAGGTTAGTAAGTCATTCTTCACACTTACTCAATTTCTGGCTCTTCTTGGTCTGTTTCTTACCTCATTCTCTGTCAGGACCAGCCTTCTTCTCTTCAGGTGAGAGCTATGGAATGTCTCATATGTGGAGTCTCCTAATCTTTTTTGGGGATATCTCTCGAAACCCACACGCACCATCTTCAGTGGGTTTTAATTCATCTCCCATACTTCTTCATTAGCCACACTCTGGTGTGCATCATCCATCCATACATGCACTCTGTCTTCATGCATGGCTTTGTCTGGTCCCTTATCTGAAGGTTGGGACTTTCCAGACATTTAGTTTCCTTGGTTTCCTGTCTAGTTTGTCCTTCTTTGTTGATTTATCAGCATAGGTTGTATACTTAAGATTTGGTCTATACATCTAGGTTATTGTCCTTCCCTTCCTTCCATTCCTCCATTGCCTTCCTTTTTCATTTGACTTTCTGACTGGGACCTATCAGTTTTCTTTGTTGTGGGTTATAGGGCACTTTTGCCTTCCACTTTTTGGTTTATCAAACTTGCTTTTGTGTTCCAATCTCATGTACTGTCTATGTTATTTCACTCATTATCCATTGCTCATCCTCCCTGCCCTGCTTTTTCTCCAGAATTGGATCCTCAGTGTTTTCCTTCATGCTCTTACTCATCCTCCACTTTAACTTTTGTCATCATGTTTGTTATATTTGTCTTCTTTGCCATTTCTGCTCCTCATATTGTTGGCATGTACTTACCATTTTTCTGAAGTGTTTGCAATTTGGGTTTTGCTATGTTTTGTTCCATAATTCCTGACCATTCCTTTATGCCCAAGACTTTAGCTGCTTGGGAGAGTAATCTGGATTTCACTTTTCAAACCCTTCCCACCATCTCCCACCTTTAGGACTATTCCAATCATAATAGTTTTGAACAAAATGGTACTAATTTGTCCTTGTGATTTAAAGACAATACTGGTTTTACCTGGCTTTATCCATTCTGTTTTTCATCCTTGATTGTCATGATGTGATGTAATTTCTTATGTCTCAGCTTTGAGAAGTCATTGGCAGCTGATCTAAATACATTATGAAATTCCTTTGGTTTGTTCTTTTCAACTGTATAAACCATTAAGGCTTCCAGTTTAGGGTAGATTTGCATATAGATTGAAATACAATGGCAAAAGCTAAGTTTGGGAATATTTTGCTAGAAGAAAATGTGTTTGTGAACAGTTACTGCTACAATTTCAATTTTGATTTTGTTGCTAAAGCTTGCTTAAAATTTTATGCTTCATTTGTATAATAATGTTGTAGTAAGATAGAAAAGTAAATGCCTTTTTGTGGAACAAAATGAGGTAGGCTTAGTTGAATCATTTTGCATATGATTGTATAAAGTTTTGTCTCGCCAACAAGGCTCTTGGGTTAGGCCTTGTTTACATTAGGTCTTATCATTCTAGGTATCTGTTTGAATGAGCAAAGAAAATCAATGAAAATAAAGTAAAAATATGCATATAATAATAATATAAAATGATATTCTTTGATAGATTGTTTAGGCAGAGTTTCATAATGAAATTTAGTTGAATGGATGACAACTGCCTGTTGTAGAAACAAAAGTATAGAGGACAACATTTCAAAAGTCTTCTGAAGACAATAGGTGGAAGACATTTGAAACGTCGTCCTCTATACTTGTGTTTCTACAACAGACAGTTGCTGTCCATTCAACTAAATTTCATCAATATAAATTGGGTTTTAAATTATATTAAGTATATTAAATGAAACCTTCTGATTAACAATATATAAGAAGTTGGTTTGCTTATAATTATGATATGGTAAAAGGATATTTTTATTGTTCATTGTTGATCATAAAGATAATGAAACTGCGTGTGTTTTTCAAATAAAAACAAAGATAAAATTTATAGTTTTATAATAGTTTATAGGAACGTTTTAAAAGAAATAGAAAGATATAAAAACAGTGATTGAAATATACCACTGAGGTAAACATTTAAATAGTTTTTAAAAAATGTCACACTAAAATATTTGGAAATTTTATACTTTCAAATTCATACAAATAACACACAAAATATTTTATTTGCAGAACCTGCATAATCTCTAGAAAATAATTGTAAAGTTTCACACTATTTCATCCAGTGTTTTAGCAATGCAGTGAAGGAAACCATACATGTTTATCAATTTGACACACACAGGTATTACAGAGTTGAACAATGCTGCAAACCACGAAATTGTTAAATTAAAAACAGGTATCTTCAAAAGTGTTGATTATTCTTGTATTTTACAGGTGATTGAGAAATCTGATGAGGCTATGTTTCATTTTCGTTACTACTTGGACACTCAAGGCTCATGTCTCAGCCAAATCCCCGAGTTTCTCACTTATTATGCTTTACCTTTTGTTTCTACACCACAATCACATCAATCTTTTAAACATTTATTTGAGGTGAGTGTTCCATTGTAGTGAAGAACAAGTTATATTTTAACCTTGTAAGTTAACATCCAGATTTTATATGCCATCAACTAAACAATGATTTCTATTTCTAAATAATTCATTATCAAAGATAAATACAATTTGACACTCAAATTCAGTCATACTTTGTTTGATCAAAAGTAATTAAATAAGTACTTCTGTAGGAATCTTGGGTACCAGAACTGAGAAATCGACTTGAGACATTTTTATGGGAAGCTATAAAAGAGACAACTCAAAACAGTCCACAACCACGTTTAGTACAGTTATATGTATCCTTTTAGTTGAGCATCACATTGGTTGTAATTCATTTAGTAAAGTTGTATGTATCCTATAATAGGGTGTTACACAATTTATTGATTTAACTAAGCTCTAAGTATTGATATATGTAAATGTTACATCACTTGTTTACTGTATAATTATACTGATTTATCAGAGTTTTGTTTATTCTGAAAGTAAGTGTTATATTAGTTGTTGGCTTCATAAAGCTATATGCATCTTTTCACTGATGTTACATCACATGTTGCTGTAGGACAATTCTGGTCATGTGCATTTTAATTTTTATATTGTTACGTCTCCGTTCGTTACTTAATTTTCCGTAAAAATTCTTTCCGAAGAAAATTTACCGATACAAGTCCTTTCTTAAAAAAAACTGGTTTATTCTTTCTGAATACAACTTTACGATACACTTAATTTCAACAGTTGCGCTATAACAAACCCTATAATTCACAATGAACTTCTCACGTGCTCAACAATATTCTGTCTGTATACATTCAATTACTCATTACATTACGTTGCTTCTTGGCCGGTCTTATATATACAAGACTA